TAGTCTTATTTTCCTAAAAACTTTTTCCTTAGCGTTTTCATTTTGTTTTTGATCAAGAGTTGGGTTATTCAAATTAATATTCTATAAACGCTTCTCTTTTCGGTAAAATAGTATGGCTCGTTGAAGTTAAGAGTAGGTGGGGTGTGTTTGGAAACCATGGATATGGTAATTTAAAAGATACCTTGCTGAATGACCTTTAAATTTTTGTGTATCAATTCAAAGAATTTTAACCAGACAATAAGTGAAATTGCTACGTTTTAGGCTTTTATATTGAATCTGAAAAATATGAAAGAGTAGACTAACCATGGAGACATTTTGAATTGAGATCATGCCCATGGAAATAGCAATTATTTTTAAGCCAATTCGAAGTATTCCTATCTACCGTATTCCTATCTCGTCTCTAACATGTTCAAGTCTATCATACTTCTAAACATTATGATGACACACAGACACATGATGAACATTTCAAATAATTATGAAGAAGATATTACTAAGTAAAGATATAAAATGTTTCAAGTAGAGTACCTTATGAAAACACTCAAAACCTCCACATGTAACCAAGCTCGGTTTCACAATTGCACTGGGCCCTCCAATGGGCTTCACAATTTTGGCTAATTTTTTTTTTTTTACAAAAAATCTCTAAATTTCTATAAACCTGTAAAAAGATCCTATTAGTTTTAATTACTATTTTTTTTTAGTACACGGCCCATTATGGGCATGAGCCGGACCTGCATGTAACATTAAAATAGCCGAAGACCAAACTCGTTCTTGCACCATCTCAGCCAAGGTAACAATATGAAAATAACATTGTCGAGATGAAGGATTGTGGGATGACTCATTTGTTGTTTTTCAAATAAAAGAATTATTTTCGACAAAAATTATATATCGTTTGATAATATATATATATATTAATGTTTTTATTGTTTTATATTTTTCAAAAAAGTGATTATATCTATATTCAATGATTTGTATTGTTAGCCGTTTAAAATTAATAGCTTGTGCAAGGTATAAATCTAGTAATATATAAATAATATGTATCAATTGATTATCAATTATTTTTTGAGTTGAAATTCCATAATTTTACGCAACTTTAATACACCACTAGAGTTTGTTTAAGTCGGTGGTCTCTTTAAAAGCTATCAAACTTATAATAATCAACTCAATCGCAACTGTCTACGTACCGACTACGAGGATGTCAAACATGTTTGTATGTGCCCTGAAAAATTCCCAGCATTAAATCTATATAATTGTTCTTTCTTCTTTTTCATAAATCAATGAAACAAATAACTCATCAATTTATGGATAAATCCATGGATTGTAAATGCATATATACAGAGAGACGACAAAAAATTTGAAGATTAGTCCATAGAAAATGAAAATCTAATGGCCACGTGATGACAATCAAAAGTCATACTAAAATTATTTCTAAGGATACAGAGGAAATGTCGACTTGCATGCGTTAGTCTCTAAACAGTCCAAATTCATGACGTTGGACAATGTATGTCATGGTCAAATAAGTTTTAGAAAAGTAAGCACTACAAATTGACTTATATATTTAAGTAAATGTTTTGCCATTGGAAAAATATTGCAAAATTACAGAAAATCTACCAAGGATATTCGATTATTAACTCCAATATTATATGTTTTGCTTTGGATCAATCAATCACATCCTATAATTTGTTTTGTCCCGAAATTGGACCCATGCATGTTTAAATGACTCGCAAGAAAACCACCGACGAGCGTATATTATTCCACATGCGTAGAAATGTCAAAAAAAAAATCCAAATGCGAGACCTTTATCACATGAACTTAATTTTCTTTATATTAATAAACCAGATGAAACATTTCAGTTACATCAACTTCGATTTTACTTGCTAGAGCAACTCGTAGATCATAATTATTATCACTATGGATTATTTATTGGTCTTAGTTTGCTCCTATGATAGTATTGCATGTATACGTAATCATTTCATATTCACGGACAGAAAATGACATTGTAGTTGGTTCCGGAAGGGCAAGTGAAGACGCTGGTGGGATCATCCTTAGGGTAACTATAGACGTCTGGACAACGTTGCTTGAAAAACATAGAGAGTGGAGTTGGTCCACACTTTCCAGAGTTGCAACAATGTTCCTCCGTTTTCAACACCGGACACGGTCCATTGCACCCACCGTCCATTCTAAGTTGGCTAGGACATTGTGCTATAATATCTCCGGCACACCTGTAAATGTATATATGAATAGTTATTTCACAAAAAATATAGATAATTTCCAGTACCGTATTTTAACATGTGCAACTAAAGCAATCGAACATGATGATTTCTATTAAAAAACAAAAATGTTGTTTAAGAAAATTTTGAATATGTGATAGATGCATGGAAGTTAGAAAATATCAAATGTTGTTTATTTATTTATTGCATATTGCCTAGTTTGAGATGGCATTAATGCCTAGTTTTATATGTTACATTAATTTTACCTGATTTTGCGGGTGCATTGTCCAGATGCAGAACTGAACTCCATTGGAATGTTGAATCCATCGATCACCGAAAGATTGATGAAATCTTGGTCTGCATATTGTTTGAGAGAATATTCTGCCAAAGTATTTGGTGAGCGTCCATAAGATTGGCACACAAGTTTACCATTACAGTCTCCGGTCTGGCAACCACCATTTCCAGCGCCATCAAAGTTGCAGTTGGTGCGACCCCAAACCCGAGCCTGGGTGGTACCTGGATCACTATTAAAGTTCCATGTTTCGCCTTGACCGAGCCGTCTTCCACCACCAGGTTTTCCAGGAGCATTTGCAGCGGCCCAAACAACATACGGACAATTGTTTCTCACTGTGAACGTAGCCGCATCGGATGAGATCACAAAGTATAGGGTCACAAATACAAACAAGAAGACTGTGGGGATGGTTTTATGATAAACCATTTTTGAAGGAAAATCAACCAAACAAGTAATTGTATATGAGGCTTGTTCTTTGCTAGATGGGTGTTCTGGTGTTTATATAGTGTATCTCAATGAAGGGGTAACAATATAATTTATTGGATAATAATTATGATGGTGAGAAATTTATGGGTTTTTTATTGCTTAAAAGAAATTATGGTTTTGCCCATGACTTTAAACTTTGAAAGCCATCGTTGATAAGTTGGTCAAGCTAGTTTAATGTTTCTAAGATATTTAGGCAGCAAAGAATTGTCATATTCGGGAAAAAAACAAATAGTGAGAATGGGATACATATAACCAAGAAAAAATCAAAAAGTTAGAATGTAAATTAACTTTAATCTTTCATATGCATTTGGTACAAAATTAAGAATTTAGTTGTGTTTGAATCCATGGTTCTTACTTTAAAATAAAATTGCGAAATTTTCATAGAAAAATGTTTTTCTTTCTTTAATTGTGTTTTTGTTGAATCATTTACAATCTATGCATTTTTTTTAATTTAAGACGGAGTCATAACAAAGGCTGCGATAGTACTAGTAAAGAAAATTCAAACATATCAACTTAATATCCAACTGTATAAATGGGTGTATCCAACTTTGTCAGGATGCCACATTGCTATGGAACATACTTGAGTTTCCCTCTTGGGGATTTAGTAAATTTTCTTTGTCAAAATATGTTTTGATAATTTTCTTTGAGACGAAATTATTTTGCGTAGGTTTTAGTGGGATTTTGAACCCAAAAAAAAGAAGGTTGTAATGGGGAATTATTTCTAAAACATAACTGAACAAGAAAGATATAAGTGAGGGATTTCGTCTTTAGAAAATGTTGTTCTGGTGTTTTATTTATGTGAATCAGGGGGTAATACTGTAATTAAGTAGATAAAGAGTATGTGGTGAGAAACTTATGGAATTTTCTTATGGTTTCAACATGGAAAAAGAGAGTTACGAAAAGTCAGTCAAGCTAGATCATCGTTTCTATAACTTTTAAGCGGCAGAGAAATATCATACTATTGAATTAACGTTTGTGAAAAATAACTACCTAAGTAGTGGTGTTTAATCCGGATAAACAGAACCGTTCCAAACAACAACAACAAAAAACAATCTAAAGCTAAAGCATCATGGAGTTTTAATACAATTATAATGAATTATTATTTTTATATCCAAAAACAATAAATCATAATCGAATATGAACCGAACCAAAAGTAGAAAAAATAATCAGAACTTCACTTCAATATGAAATATAATTATATGAAATTTTACTTCAGGTTACTAATTTCTAAAACTATAATACACACACACAACTAGATAAACCAAACTGAAACCATTCAAAACCTAGATTGCCACCTCTAATTAAACTCTTTCTTTGAAACTCTATCGATGTTATGAAAATAGTGATTAATTAATAGTCTCTAAAACTGTATCAGGCTATAATTGTATAGAGGATTACCAGTTCTAATTAAGACGATATACTAAAAGTCTAACAATTCAAGTTTTCTATGTACTTAAATAAATGTACCAGACCGCATTATTATTATTTTGAAATAAATACTTTAGAACTAACCGATAGACGACTTTATAAGTCAAGTAAGGACTTGGTAAAGACTTCACC